CTGGTATGATAAAGTGAGCATTAAAATTAACAAGTCCATAAGTTATGAATAAGCACTGTTATTACTCAAAACGTCATAAGTCACATTGGTCAATTTTACAGCCATATCATAATCAGCCCCTCATTTACAGAATGTTCACTTTGTCTGGTTTTGTTGCAGCATGCCCCATATATTGGGTAACAATATTCTAAAACCCAGCATTTCGTATCAAGTTGACTTGAACGGTCGTAGATAATAAATGTTATCGACTTTGCTTTAGATGCATAATGATAATAAGGGTAGGCGAAACAGCTATATTGAATGCATTTTACCATGCACGATTAAGGTTTTATCTGATAAAAATGTCATTATTATTATTATGGGATTTGAAATTAATAATTATGGTATAATTACTCTTGTCCGCTGACTTATTGTAAAATGCGTTGGCCTTATTTCTCATAATATACATTTCAACCATTTATTGGTTTCTTTTATTCGGAAGAAAAACCACAACCATCGAAAGTACCCTCCAACTGATGCAAATAAGCTTAGAGGTCATCCCATTATTTGAAGAGTATCTGCTGCCAAAGAGCATAGTAAGTTAGTTGCCGTGATACATATTATTACTAGATTCATAGATTACGTTCTTTATATTTGACACTTCCACAAAAAACAATATTTATCATAATTATATACTGTTCAGAATAATGACAATCGTAGCCAATATAATTATACATAACCCGTCACATGCCACAGAATTAAAAACTCTAGCATTGTAGTATTGTCAGAGGTTAAACTGCCTTCCAGGATATCTTCATATTTGCGTCCGGTTCATACATACAAGATGCCGTAAGTTACGAAGAACAGGTCTTCTTATTGATGAATATGTATCTTCACGAAATAGCAATTCTTGATGACAGAAATCATGCAGCTGGGGCTCTTATATTGATGGTTGGCACAGCACACAATATATAGTGTTCTATTTGTTGGTTGTAGGTTGTAGAAGAAACCTAATGTGGAGCAGTAATCTTCGGTATGTAAAAGAAACCTCAATCCAAAGTATCTGTCCGGGAATCCTCGTCCATAACGAAGAAGAGAATTTTTTTCAGTTTCTATGTTCCGATGCGAATAGCAAGGAAGCATAGAAATGCATCTTGCTTTTGTAATGATTCACAGCAATTACAAAAACATAACCGAATTCCAATCCTTTGTCTTGATGAATGATAGAACAGTTTTCCCAGTATCTTGATATTGTAAACTTTGCTTCGATTAAATTCACCTTAAATTCTCTCATTCAAAGCCTAAGGTTGCTCTGAACGTAAAGACGTATATCATATATACTATCCCCCCAAATCGATAAACCTCACGGATTGCTGAATAACATAACGTAGCAATGATTCAATGTGAAGATGTTTCCATGTTTGCACAATATAAATCTATAACAAGGTCTCTGAAGATAAATTCACGAAACTGTAACCATATTGAAATAGATCTTTCTTTAAGAATATATAATTTTACATTACATATTACAGTCTCCATAGTGTTTGCTTCTTTTGCCTTCTATGGATGTTTATCTTTAAATTATAAAAATTATCAGCTTGAAGAGTGTTGGATAAATTGTTGCTGCTGTAACTGATCATTTATATTTGTCAGAGAAGTTTTCACAATCAAAACTTAAACAGTTTTCTTCAACATTCCCTCTACCAGTTACAATAATTTACATCTGTAATCAAGGCTTTTGTCAGTGAATAAGATTCCGATAATGCCTCAAAGTCGAAAAGAATGATTATTCTCAAGTGTCAAAGACAAGAAGAGATTCAAATACGCATACTTTACAACCGCGTGGGAACTAAACATTAGTGATGGTTAATTAAAACTTTCCAAGATTTCAATAGCACATTGTAAATAACCAAAAGCAATTGTGTCTGGTTAGACGCCTTTTTACTACCAATCATAGTGAACAAAGGTTGTTATTCACTTGAACATATGAGTAGAAACATTTGGAAGAAAAACGTTTTGGTTCCAGATACGAACGCTTATCCTCTCGCAATAACCGTAGATTTTATAGCCTGTATCTCTAAGTCACAAAGATTGAGTACTGAATCTCAAGTTACATTGACTGTCACGGGTGGGGCAACTAATGTCATGCGCCGAGTATTTTGATTCACTCGGAAAATTTCTATCTGTACTACCTCACGTGCATGACTGATTATAATGACAATAAACCGTATAAAAAAACAATAATTGACATGTGCATTGAAAAAAAAAGTTGTTTGCTTTAACAGTGCGAATTATGCAGACGAACGCTTAAATACAGCCAGCACCAGTTGATTGCCCAATAAAAGCAAATTCAACTAACTTCTGGTCCCAACTCTCCTTTTTCGAACGCGTCTACATCTATGATCGTACAGCGACAGTTACACGTAAATTCCTAAGACTTGACTCTCACACTATCATTATTCTATACAACATAAAAAGAAACCCTCATCCTACACGACGCGTAGACGTAACTTGAAACCAAACAAAATTACACGAAAGATATCAAGACAACAACAACAACAGGCGGGGTAAGCACGTATCTTATATGAACTAACACGCACAGCAGTCAACATTCATTGTGACCCAAAACGAGTTCTGCCCCTTTGTTACAAAAACTTGCAGATTTTTATAAACTTGTCTCCAAACGAGTCTCTCCAACTTAATCTTTTTCCAATGGAGACTCCAAAGACAATCGCCAGTGTTGACATCGACGAAGAATTATCTTGCACGTATCTCTACTCACGAATGCATTCTATCGAAGCGGTAAATAAACGAATGATAACAGACTCATCTGCGTTTTCTTTAAAACAGCTAAATGTAGTGTCCTCGATATGAGAAATGTATGGGGACGAAGAGAAGACACAATAGATTTAGAAGAGAAGGAAAAACGAAGTGAAATGAACCAGATGTGTGGATTACATACGAGAAAGGTAGGAGGAGCTCGAATGACGCTTTCTAAACAAAAAAAAAAGAAAGATGGCACATTAATTGTAATATGCATGTTTGTCCATATATGATCGTTTTTGTCCATCCACCGTTTCCCCTCTCTTCGCATCATCGACTTTCATACCAGTACTCAACCTACCCACAGGGTCACTATCATACTCCGCAAGCTATACCCATCGGCTCATCACTTCATCCGCAAGGGATGTTTGTCCCAAACCGAGTCAAACCAGAAACTAAAGATTTCGTAAATGACATCGAGGATTCGGAGTCGAGAAGGGAATGGAACAGGGACGTAGGTTCAAAGAAAGAATGGAATACGCCAAGAGCTCAACAGCTGGCGCGTTGTTTTGTGTGCGTAAAGGGAAACGTTACATTGCTGCCTTGTGGGCACCGGTGAGTACAAAAAGCGGGACGAGGGAAACGTAAGGGTGTAAAGGAGAAGCAAGAGCGCGAGACTATTTGTCGACACTCGCGATTTCTAACTATTCTATTGTTTAGAATGTGTGAACAATGTGTGCATGAGTTGAGATCACGGACAGTGAAATCTTCATACAAGACTTTCTCAGCGTGTCCTTACTGTGGAAATGTGAGTACTTACCTGTTATGAGCAATCGGCTAACAAAGTCGGTTCTTTTTGTGTCTCTGTCACATTTCTTATTAATCTCGTCTTTATTTTGACATTCAAACTTGTTCGTATTGAACATTTTTCACTTTTATTATTTTTACCGACGCGTCCATTAACTAAGCCCGTCAAGGAATTCCAAAATTCCAGAAAGCAACAACAAACTCCTAAGGCGTCATCATTGGCGTATTTGACACCGCCTTCTTCTTGCGAAAAATCCAAAGAAACAGTTCCATCCTCTGATCTTCTGTCAACACCAACACCCATTCGTCGTTCTACTACAGCTTTCGTCACTCCCTCCAGTGACGTGTCTACTTCCGATATGATCCTTCCAAACTATTCTCGATCAAATACGATCGCGAAAGAGGTCAATGCGACTAATAAGCATCCGATATCAAGTGTTCCTACATCGGCAACAGCGACCGCGACAACACAAAATACTTCTCACACACCACAGAAGTCGCAACAAACTGCATTTATAGAATTAAGCAAATTAGCGCCTAGATACGACTGGCCTGTGGTTAAAATCAGTAACGTAAGTACAACAAAAGGGTGCGATATTGGAGAGTCAATACGAAATATAATGACCTTACTGAAATTATAGATACCTTGGGACATTTCATTGAGAGATATCAAGGGTTTCTTTTCGACGTTCAAACTGCCCGATTCGTCGACGTATGCACAAAGCATTCATGTTATCATGGACAGGTAATAAGTCTACTTTCATCAACCATTATCGCACTGCATCCATGACGTGCTCCGTTGTATCTATTTGCATTTATGCGCAGTTTCTTTATGACCTTTAATCTCGTAACCGTTTCTTTCTTAATAGAAACACGGGCAAGACCCATGCAGAAGCTTACATCGAATTCCTAAACCAGCATGAAGCACAACTGGCTGTCTCAACCCGAAACCTTAAGCCCCTCAAAGGTCGATTGGTATCGCTTCATCATTCGTCCCAGGCAGAACTTATGAGGGCTACATTCCCGAAATGGAAGGGAAAGTTCTCGGGATGTGATGCTGTCGTTACAGAAGAGATGCTTGATGGAAAGCAGACGGTACCGAACGTGCCCCTCATCACGAGAGATGAAATTTATAGTCTATTGGTTGTTTGTAAGAATTACAAGGTATGTGGTTGGCAAGGAATAGAGGGAAGGAAAGAGAATTAGATATAGGGTTAGATAAATGAAAATATAAGTACTAAAACATTAAGTGACAATTCATAATATCCAGCTTCACTATTCGCGAAAATGCGCCGAAAGACCATTTGAGAATATTATCAGCATATTGACAAAGGTATTTTACAAAATTTTAACTCTTCCGTTGTATCTTCTTTGTGAAAGTACCTTCTTTGACTCCTGTCCAAACTTTATCCAGTTCCCATTCCATCAAGGAGACTTGTACACAACTTTGCAACGAGATCTACTATTCGAGACGTTAAAACGTAAGTAGAATAATGAGAGAGTGTGTGTGTATTTAATATCTCCCGTGCGAATTGGAAAAGGGTTTCTGATAACAGTTCTTGGCTTGACTTAATGACAGTTGCAATCGAATCGTTAAAAATACATATGAGTAAAGAATATCATCGGATTGAAGACACATTGCTCGAACGAATGGTATGTCGAACACAGCACAGTATCTGTCTCCAGTCCAACGTCGAGTAACCCCTATTCTCACGCACCTCTATTTCTCTAGCTTCGTGCCGGGATACTTACACCCGTATTTACCGAACGGCAGAAATTGATGATTGTTCATGTGGCCGGACTGCAACTTCCGGCTGATCTTGAAGATAAGATTTGTCCATTCAAAAAGAATGATCCATCGGACGATCAGCAAACCGAAGAAGAGAAGGATCAGAAACAAGAGCTGACTCATGAACAGAAGGGAGAAGAACAAAAACAGGAGGAGAGTCTGAGTAAGAGCAAGAACCAGGAGCAAGAACACGAACAATCCCCGAATCGAAAGGCGGAAGAAAACCAGGAGGTAAGAAAGTGCATTGAGAACATTGGTAAATCGTAAGCCGTGTTAGAAGATAGTAACTAATTTGCTTTTTGACTGGTAATGTTTTTTCTCTAATGAACTTGCCGACAACTTATCACGCGAACGTGGCTATCACAGTATCAGTCACAATTCTCGCCTTCCCTTCCGAGTTTACATCTCACATCTTCAGCTGTGGAATTCCCCGTAGCAGATAATGGGAACAGAAATAATGGCCATGAGAACAACGACAATATCGTTGACAATACTTCGTTCTTCACGACATCGTTCCGTCCACCAATGCTAAATTTTGTGGATCAGGCACAGGAGTACAGAGAATTTGATCCATTTGGAGGTAAAATGGTGGCCAACATGGATGGTGGGTTTGATATAGGTGGGGAGTAGAGCGGCGCGTTAAAGATTAATGAATAGAAAAGGAACTATTAGAGGGGACGGGGTGAGATTGAAGGAGTGATACAAACGGTTCTTGTAAAAGGAAAACATACTTTGCATACTACATTTGCTAATTCTCTCGACTTTTCTAGAAGAAAGAGGACCCCAACCCAAATACGAACTATTCAACTCCAAATTTCAATCCTACGCACCATTCGCACCTATCCATTCTGTTTATCCGTCTTGTCATACCCAACTGCAAAATCCTCCTCAACCAATACCCAGTCTCCCGTCGCCACCCCTTCCATTACAAACCCGTCCATGCGCGCCATTCTCAACGTTTGTTCCGTTCGATCCATTCAGATCTGATTTGTTTAGGTTTAATCGCGAAGAGGGAGTAAAGAATTTGAATGCAGAGAGGTGAGTATACGTGGAATAATGGTGTAGCGAGGTGTGGTGAGGTGTGAAGTGTGCTGTGTTGGTGAAGCGGACCATTTATAATTCTTTTCCCTTCTTCACGTACAGACCACTTCCTTCGGTTCTTCCAGCAATTCCCAATTGTGACAACCCCTTCCTTGTTACTCCTTCACCAAACACCTATGCAAATGCAACTTACAATCCCCGCTTCAATTCATTCTAAACGACGTTCGAAAGAGAAACGTAACATGTATTATATGTGTATATAAGCTTCGAGTATTTGTAAGTAATATTGAAAAAAAAAAAAGAAAAGACGAAAAAGAAAAAAAAAACAAAATGAAGTTAATTTGCACAATTAATAAAAAGATGTTCTCAAGGATACTTTGATTTTCTTTCATTGACTTCATTAATAAGAGTGTTTTAGTTTACCAGTTCCGTTTAGTGTTCTAAGATTTGGGAAATAGTAATATTGCCGAGAACTTGTTATTTTCAAGAAGGGCGATACTGTCTCGTCCCAATTCCAAGGCAAATCTGATTTCAAGAATCCTATGAAACAATAGGAATCATCTCAGTTGGGAATGTGAATATAATGACACATGGTTGAGATATAGCTCGTTGGAACTGAGCGTGTCATAGTGAGTCTCCGTCGCATTAAGATTGTTCGCGCAATGCAATCTGAAAGCAATTCAATATGTGAATGCCGGACTTGTCATGTGATTATCACTAGCCCACGTTTTAAGTGTTTAGAGCTTTATTTGGATATTGATATCCAAATAAAGTTTTCTCGCACGTGTGAATGAACATATTCCAAAATACCACAAGTAGATCTGTCCATGCGGTGCAACGTCTATAATATGCTTGTTTTATTTAACGTCTCTTTACATAATTAATGTATAGAATGCAGAAGGTCCGTCGCTAATAACTCTTGTCACGCTCTATCGGATTATCGACCAAAATGCTCAAGTATTAGTGGAGAATGGTTTACAACAGTTCAATATAATAATTGCAGAAAATACGATTGGAGTAATAAGTTCGATTGAACACGTCATAATATCGATTCGGTGAGAGAATGTTAAAGTGATTCTGAGCTTTTATCAACACGACTGAAAAGTATAGCCGTGACCGTGCTCTTCCATTCGGTGGGATTTATTCAAGCAGGACTGAAAAAACCTGTTATAACTACATGTTTCTCTTTTAGAGCGAGTTTACAGAGATGTTAATCTTATATTATAACGGGTCGCGCGTTTTCTATTCACTCAACCGCTGGGCCGAAATCGCAACGCCGATAGCTAGTAATATTAATCAATTACGAATTGGGAGTCTCGTAAAGTGGACAAGGGTTCGTTTTTCACGAGTTGTTTGCTGGATCCAACTAAACCTGATTCAGTCTTGTGTTCGCTAGGATGTTTCCTTATGGAACTATGCGTGAGTATGCGTCTTGCTTTTCAAAGGCATGTCAGATTCGAGGATTTCATGATCGAAGCAATAACAAATGTTATCAATCTAGCTGACGCTATTTTTATATAAATTAGCATCATACGTGTTTGCCTACGCTATCGTGTTTTAGATCGCGTCTACATTTGGCTGTAACCCTGTCAGATTCAATCTCGTCCAATTCTTTTGCACGATCGTCAATATGAATGAACTTCCACCACACGCTGGACGCTTGTCAGATCAACATATCATAATCCATTCAGGATATCGTATACCGGAGTAAATTTTACGAGTTATAAGGATTTCCGGTACGACCAAAACTACATGCGTTTTGCATTACATGAAATATTCATAGGAAGTGATACCATATAGAGATTTAGAACCTGCCAAATAAGGAACGTTTTTTTTCAATAGTTTTATTATTGCGGCGGATTTCTAGTTTTTCGCTCCGAAAACCGTGTTTCCACCAATGATAACTAAAAATGTCCCTGCCAGAATGGTCTCCAAACGGTATGTGATATACCTTCAACCGTAATTTCACTTTCCATCTTGGTCTGTCAATGTATCGATTCGTTATCGAAATACTTTCACTACTTTTCCGTCTCTGCTATTTCTGCAACTGGAAAATTACGAAATAGCAATTAAATTCTCATAATTTGCCAAACCCTTTTCTCAGAACATACTTTGAACTTAATGACATTGGACAATCGCTCTTACCCGAAATAATAAATTCGGTGTTTGATCAAAATTCCGCATCTTCCGTTTGCCGTCACTCTTCAGAGGGAATCACGTACCCGCTACCTTTATATCTGGCAGTATAACTTGTTCTATAACCACTAGATCCATTTATCGAGACCAGTGTGCGTAAACCACTCGACCTACGAAGTCCAGTAACGGCACGGATATCACTAAACAAATAGCCTCCAGCACATGGATCAATCCCCAATGATCCAGATAGTTGATATTGTCGAGTTGACTAGTTTGTGTACAAAATGGAGTCGTTGAAGAATCAGTGTCAAGCATTGCTTAATAAACAATATCATTATGTACACGACAGGTAAAAAGTTACTTACCTGGTTAGATTCAAATAATGAACTGTTTCGCTCATCCACCATCCTCTTCTTGAATATCCACTTTTATTGGTTTTTATCAGCTTTGGCCAATCCGCTATATGTGTGCATTCAATGATGCACTAACGTCATCTCCCAACTGTGAATATGATCAGCTTTATTCTGCGTATTATCCCGTGACTTCATTTAAACGAATCCAGAGAACTGCTGTAAATAGAAGATATAACGTACATATCTCTAATCCAAGGTGCCTTGTCATAATATGAATCATCCATCCCATCCGTTGTTTTATCCATTATCTCAATCAAAACTTTCAAACAGTAAGTACATGAGCCACTGCTGTCCTGAAGGCAATCGAAAGGAAATAAGTTTCGTTTGCTGAGTTTTTGTTCGTATTGCGTTTCCCTTAATAAATTCATCGAGCCGTTTATTGCTGACAGTTTATCCGTTGGATAATTCACAGAGCTAACATGCGAAGCAGAATCCATATCGAAAGTAATAATCGCGAAGCTGTAATAATCTTCAAACTCAGTAATTCCTCGGCAATGAATTACGAATGATGAGCCATTTTGAGTGTCTTCTGAATCAGGAGGTTTAATTAACGCTGTGTTGGGAGTGAGTGTTTCTAGTAAACTCACGCATAGACGCTGGCATATATTCTTCAGCACGTCCAAAGTAAGACCGGGCGGCGCTATATCACCATTATAGACTCACGTTTGCAGCAGATGGGTTGGTCAGCAGCGTATGGTTCACATTAAACTCTGCATATAATATCCATTCAAGATCCAAGAATCGACCAAGTGCAAATGTGAATAATCAAGTCTTACGACAAGGGTTTCAATTCGATGGCCTGCTAGCGCCATAAGTAGCCCGATACATCTAACGTAGGGTACGCTGGTCTTAAACTGAAAATCCATCTTTACAAGACCCTCTCGTCCATGGCATAATGGAAGGCACTTAAACAAATTTTTATTCCGCGAGTTCCTTATCGTTATAGGCATAGATTGTTCCATTAAAGGTGGTTGATGCGCAAGAAGTACGCCCTTACCATATTTAGTAATAAAGTATTTGTTAAATTTAGCCAAGTGCTAGATGAGGTACCATAATTAGTATACAGTGGCTTTGCCGCTAGTTGCCAATATGCCAGATTTATATTTACCAAATTTTGTAATTTAAACATTATCAATTCTGTCAAGAGAACACACATAGAAGACTTTATAATTGAAAAGGACAATAATAATTCAGCTTTGTCTTAGCTTCTAGTAAACAACTTTTGCTCTATCTTTGGTAATAATAGTTTATTTCATACTATAATGCATCGTACATATTGACCACGCAATCTTCAATAGTGGAATGTGTCTCAACTTATGTATATTATTTCATTGCGGAATCGATGACGTTGGACTTTAGTCTTATCATTATCGATACCAGCATTATACTTTTCATGGTAGCTGTTCATTGAGAACGCTAACTTCTACTTAATAATGGAGAATGTAAAAGTAAAGTGCTTTTTAAATCTATCACGAATTTTAAAATTTCGGGTCGACTGACAACCCACTTGGCAATCTCTCGATCACCGATTCTATGGTGCGTAAAAGGCCGGAATGCTTAAAAACCAACCCAGGTCACCATGATCGTGAGAGACCAAGATTCGCATAAAATCTATTTCTAAACTTGAAAATCTACTTAACATGAAATCTTAAATCTTTGCTCACGGCTATGTTTCCGCCATGAGATCACAATGCACTAATCCCGCATCGTTTGACCTATATATTTTAAGACCGTCATTGGTCATTTCTGTTTCAAAAATTTTAAAATTTGCTAGGAGTTACTCTCCACTCCATCAGCACATCTTTCTCTAAATTTCTCGTCCAGTTTTAGCCGATGTTCTAATGCATGCGTACTAGACATTCGACACGCAAGGTCCTTCTTCCTTCCGCACGGTGTGTGTGCGTTTATGTGTCTGGATTAAATGACTTTAATAAACGAATCAAATAACCTAATATGTATCATAGATTTCGATGATAGGTATGTCAATTCCTAATACGTCGATCGCCCGGATCTTGTATAAACTCCATAAACCTTGGATAGATATGACATGTTAGCTTATGTATAAATTATTAAATGTACAATTAACACTTATATTTATAAGGGGATTTCTTACCATGGAAATAAATAATCCTGGTTTGAGAGAGCAACCAGTCTCTCCCGAATGTTTATATTTGGTACCAGACCCAATCTTATTTAACTTGTGAAAGTTGGCATACTGCATAAGGCTTACGCTGCAATGTTGTACGTATTTTATGATGCTACGCGACATCAACATCTCTGAATGATCTTTATGAAATATGTAATATATAAATAATACATCGTTACAACAGAATCGACTTGACACGCACAAAAATTCATTGACAAATAAATATTGTACACATAAATATTTACCAAATAGCTGAACATTCCACCCATCACCTATCTTCCGGATTACCGGGTCAATTCATTTGTGGACACAATCACTATAATGTTATCTCTTCTGTGATTGCCAATAAAAAATATTCTATTCATTGTATAAAAGTATCAACTGTAATATGGGCATCGCCAGGTAATTTTCATGCAAATACAGAGACTTTTTGCCAGTAGTCGATCGAGCATTAAGCATCCTTCTTTCGAATTTTTTGTTGTACACGCCAGACATAATTCAACTTTTTCTTTACTAGAGAAT